CATGCATGTATGTGTGCTAGATACTCAATCTGTTGCATATCTAATAATTTAGATCAATATATCATTACCTTACATACAGATATGATCTATAATACATCATACAATTTCATCTATACAAGTTACATATCTATGTGTATATACATATACATACATATATATATATATATCACTACCAATTTACCATAATTTACCTATTGATCGATAGATGAAATCATCAACTTCCAGGCTTCACCGCGATTGCGCTTGCCTCCTCGGTGCTTCCCTCAGAACTTTGGAAAGTTCTGGCTGCTTCTGCTTGCACCTGGGCCAATGACCAACGAAATGGTGGCAAACTCACGGTCCACCCGTCTAGCATGGAGAAAATCAGGCGAGGCACATGAACTTCTGTTATATGTGTGTACATATATATATATAGTGTGTGTGTACAGTATATACACTACCAATTGCAATTTGGAGCTATCCCCCATTGGAGACAGACCCAAATCCTTTTGATATATTGTATCACAATATATATATATAGATACATAGGATAATAAAATATATATATGTGTGTGTGTATTATAATTATAAATATAATATATATATATATATTATATACATATTCTCTAGTAAATGCTAAGTTACTAAGTTCCAAGAACTAGTTGAAGGGGAATCCAAAGGAAACCCTTTTTTCTAGGGGCAAAAACTATGGTTTCCTGCAGGGTTCCCTTAAACCGACCCATTTAAAAAATTGCATGTTTGACAGATCAAGGAGCGGTTCAACCCATATGATATGATGCTTCTGTATCCTTTGGCACTCAAACGTGGCATTCAAACGTGGCAATAGAAAATCCACCATGTGTAAATGATGTTCCCATTAAAACCCCTATTTTTTGGGGGGATTCCATGTTGATGACACCGGAGGCTATGTATAATCCGTTGCTACCGGTGGAGTACTTCTCCATAGCTTCAGCTGCCAAGTTACCCCTGCCCGGAGGGCAGCCAAGACCTGCTCATTCCTCAACATCAGCCGGAGGCGCCTGGGACAACAGTATGCTGGCACCAGTTTTTTCGCCAAACATCTTGTATACATGCTCATTAGTACGATATACGTATGATATGTATTGATATGTGCATATATGTGCATATGTAATATATATATATATATTAATTAATATAATTTAATATATAGGTTTATCAATTTATCATAGGATACCTGTCTATCTAGATATATCTAGATAGCTATCTTCTTTCCAAAGAACCCCCAATCCCATTCTAAATTCCATCTAAATGCTTTCATATACTTTGTCTTTGCCATCTTCACGTTTTCTGTTTTTTTTCCTGTTCTTCCCCTCATCCTCATCTTGTCCGCTAGTCTTCATTCTTTTGCCATATGAATTTCCCCTGTGATGACTTCTGGCCCGCACCAAAGGCCAACAGCCCCAGACCCGTGAAGGAACACACCACAAAAATCGGCGCCTGTCGAGTGCTGCGACGCGGAAACGCTGCGACGCGGAAACGCGACGTGCCACGCTGGAAAAACTTGGAGTAACTGAGATTTTGTTCACAAAAAGCATAGATTTAACATCATTTAACATGTAGATGGGATCGATCCAAATTCTATAAGTTAAATGATGTTAAATCATGTTAATTTTTCTATAGAATCATCGAACATGTAGATGTTGCCATCAAGAATGGGACTCAACCAACCAAAATGGGAATATAGTGCGATGTAATCCAGTAATGTAATGTTAATTCAGGATTCATAAACCATAATGAAGCCCCACTTACAACCAGGGGGGGTATTATTTCAGTAGCACACCACGACTTTTTGGAGAGCACCCCTAATGTGATTTTTAATCCGGGGTGGACATCATTCACATTAGATTCCCGGTAAGTTTTGATTACTCGTACTCCCATCCATGTTTTTGGAGCAGTCGCCCTCCAATTTCTGTAGCACCCAACAGTCAGGTGGGAATCCATCGGCCCATGCCGAACTTCCCCACCAAGTAGCCTCCACTAGGGCTGTAAGGGCCAAGCCTTATCGCCGTATCGCCCATGCATCATGCTGTGATGGGAAACCTCTTTCACAGTTGCATGAAGTTTTACCTGTTCCTCTCTTTGAAGACCCCTTTCTTGAAAGACCTACTCTCAAGATTCACCCAAGTTTCCCAGACTTGGTTTCAAGGAAAAAGTGACTGTAAGTCATGTGTTCCTACGTTTGCCACGGCTTTTTCCCTTCAAAAAACCGGTTGTTTCGGCTGGCGAGGTGATCTGCTTCCCTGAGGCTTCAGCTCAAGTGCTTGCCATCGTCCTGAAGAAAACCCCAGCCAAAATTGGTGGAAAATGACATGGACCACTACCCCCTGGTAATTTAACATAACTATGGAAAATCACCATTTTTAATGGGAAAATCCACTATTAATGGCCATTTTCAATAGCTACGTTAAATTACCAGAGGGTAAGATGATACGAGACCCTGGCCATGGGATGAGAACAGAAACGGCCTCGCTGCCGTCAACTTTTCTTCGGAAACACCCAGGGCACACGGCGCGGCAGAACAACCAGCGGGGCCATGGTGGGATTGGGGATGCGAGCAACGGCACTTTTAGGCGCCATTATGGGGTCCCAAACTCTGTTGTGGAACCATTAATGTGCTTGTTATGCTTGTGTCATGAAAGATTGCCGTAGACATCCCGAAGTTTCAGGAGTGATATCCTGAGGTTGTTGGTGAACATCCCCATTTTCCACCTTCAGTGAGGCCCCGATCCAGTGCCGCCATTCAGAAACGACCTCCCCGATCCAGCTCCGGGAGCCGGGGCGGTCGCGAAACAATTCTGCGGAAGGGTGAAACCGTTCGGCGGGGTCTGAATTTTGGCGCGACATGGTTGGCCAAAGTCCCAGATTGGCAGAGAAACGTCTAGAAAAGTATGAGAAAATGATCGGAAACCTCGATATACCTCGATCTCTTTGGCCACCGGCCGCCGTCTATTCCTGGGCAATCTCCAAGGCGTTTGTGATGATGTCACTCACGCCTTAGTCACGAGAAATTGCCTCTGCACTGGATCTTCACCAGGGGTCCCAGGTTTTGACTCAGACTCATACCGTCTCATACTTGGAAGATCATTCTACCTAGAAACTGGTTAATAACATTTAGTAACCACATGTATACATATATATTATATTATATTATAATATAATTATATAGAGAGAGAGAGAGAAAGAGTTAAACCGTATATATATATATATGTATAGATACATACACATAATTATAGATATGAAATATTACAACATAACCAATTCACATATGGGATAGCCTCACTTAAGGGACCAATCTAACCACTCAAACCAGGCTGGTTGGCCCATTGCCTGAGCTCCTCACGCTTGATCACTTCCGATTCCATGACGTCCGTCACTTCCCCTGGCGCCAGCCCGTCCGATTGATGGAAGCGCAACCCTGCTGAAGCCACCAGAAATATCCAGAAATGGCCTGGAAAGCCTACAACATTCTCTCCGAAACTGGCTGGTAAAGATGCAGATTTGACCTTACATCGATGACAACGAGGATGTGATATTAAACACCCGGAGAAAAGGCCCCACCTCGGCCCTTAAAACTTGGAGTTATCCCATGCAATCCGCCATTGCCATCGATCTCGTCAGTGGCACATGACTTATGATGATTTCCCCCAATTGATGACCTTAAACAGGCTGCGAAATGTCAAAACAGCTCTGAGTTTTGCGGCAAGCTTGCAGAATTGCACAAAAAAAAACATGAATCACATGGACCAATATACCCTAATTACCAAAATAAACGATTCAAGATTAAACCCCCCCAAAAAAAAAAATATATATATATACATCGTCCACAATAGACACACCCGTCACCCATGGGGTTTTAGATACCCCCCTTTTTTTCCACCAGATCCAGCGTGGCCCGGCCTTGACAATCCTCATAGTCCAGGTCCGCAATAATCAGTTCTTCGTCCATCAGCAGATCTTCCAGTAGCAAGGCACCTGGCGAACTACGGAACCGTAGGGGCCATAGGTTGGGGTCCCAGTGAGTAGGGGCAATGTCCGGTTATAGGGGCGAAATAACATGAACTAACCCACTTCCTCAATTGGAATGAGCCAAGCAGGATTGGGAATATGAGAAGCGAGAGATAATGGATGACATTGGCTGTGATTGGTGATATGATATACTGTTCAAAGAATTGCAGTGGACAAGCACAAGCCATGCCCACATTGCACTTCAAAAAAATGGAAAGCATCACAACGCGGAATAGCAAATTGAAATGGCAAAGTCGGAATCAAATGAAACCCAATCGCACATCAGTTTGAGAAGATGAACTATGGGGGGCCAGCCTTACAGCATAACATATATATATATATATCCATAAATATGTATATATATATATGTGTATATATATATACATGTACACATACATATACATATACATATACATATACAGATACATATACATATAAAGACACAGATACGCATACATATACATATACAGTGTATATATATATACATGTGTGTGTGTGTGAAACAGTGTATGATTGATATTGTAAAACATGTTGACCTTTCACATTCCTTGTGGGGTGTTATAACTCTTCAAGGACGCCCCAGGCGCCTGGCAACTGCGGACCCCTGGGTGACCCCATGGGCGAGCTTGGTCTGCACGCCGCACGCCAGGCTTCGAATCCGCGGCCCAACAGCTCACGTTCACCTGAGCAGATCAGTCTTGGGGGATGACTCATGGGGTTTTAACATCGGCCTCAAGGATCCTCTTGGGGCAAAGTTACAACATGTTGCAACAACCTTGACTTTGGTGAGTTTGCGGCTTGCATTAAATATATATATATATATAATTATACGTATATATATATATATTGTATATATATATAAGACACATAATTAAGGGGCGAGTTTCAACAAGCATCTGAAGCATCCCCGGCAGAACTGCCAACTGAACAACCACGCGCTTGAGAAAAATGGAAGAAATAGCTGGCTAATTTGGGGTACTAAAACATCAAGTGGTGGGGGCGAAAAGTTTTGGGCCAATAGATTATATAGATGATTATAGTTTGTTCATGATGTTCATGCGATTTTTGGGCAATGACTGACCTGCAGATTGGAAACTGGCAAACTGACCTTAAAAACCGTTGACATCGGGGCTTCGGGGGAGTCCTCAACTTGGAGGTTCCGATGTGTTTATTTGGTAGCACATTTGCCTGCACAAGAAGTGTCGAAAGCCCACCACACGGGGCGGCGAAATGGCATAAGCCCTTTAGGCATGCCAGATTCAACGGTGAAGCTATGACTGCAGGTCATTGCGCTCACCACACCTGCTTCACACAGACCCATACAATGTGAAAAATATCCATATCATGAATTTTGCTGCATGCCTATGTTTCTTTTCTCTATGTTTTCATCATACCCCGACCAAAAAAAAAGGGGGCGACCTGATCTTTAACCAGGTACCGCCGTGGTCAATTCCATTCAGACTTCCTGTTACAGAGCTGCCGCAATGAGATAGCCGCATGTGACCGCCACGACCCCTGTGATGTAGAAGATTCGGAAGGCCACATCAACTTGAAATGACGGCGGTTGCTCGAAGAAGGACACGTGCATGGCCTAGGAATGATTAGCTGTGGCCATGGTGAACTATGCACGTGTCACTGTAATATCAGTTTATGCCAACTCAATTCTATCATTCTGTCTACCTTTGTTCATTTGCATTATTATTATATATAATATATACATATATAGTAGAAAATTGAAAGTTAGAATGCCGCGCAGGGCCACCAAAAAAAATCCATTGAAAGTTAGAATGCCACACCATAATTGTTTGAAAAAATCTACCAAAATTCTACCTTTCAGTCCGTATTATGCTGGTAAATGTGGATATATTGTGCTCAAAAATTGTTTGATCAAATTTGCCTCCCTGTTGTGCCGGGGCCACCAAACCTTTTTTTTTTGTAGGGTTAGAATGCCTCCGCAGCATATGCCCCCAACACATCTGAATTCTATATAGATTTTAAATAGATAAATGAAATCTTGGTCCCCAATGACGGTTGAGATAAGTACTTACCACAGTTTGATATCATCATCATATATCCTACATCAACCAAATCCCTTAAAAAAAGCGGGTCGAGCTATCAAAACCTGGTTTTGAGCTAGTTTCTGCGAAAAAACAGGTTTTAGTCAACAAAACCCGGTTTTTGATGAAGCAGCTTCGCCACAACCCGTAGAAAACCGTCCAAAACCTGTAAAAACTCGTCAAAACCCATAAAAACCCGTAAAAAACCGTAGTCCAAAACCGACCAAAAGCTTGGTTTGCCGGGGCCACCAAACCTTGTTTTTTGTAGGGTTAGAATGCCTGAGCATATGCCCCCAAAACTTCTGAATTCTATATAGATCTTAAATATATAAATGAAATCTAGATGTGAGTAAACGACGTGTTCTTGGATCGGCGGATGACGATATTGCATTTTTCTGCATATTCTGTCATTTTTATTGATCCGTTTTTTGGCTGAACATGAGAATGATTTTTGCAAATACCTGCATATTCTACATATTCAAAATACGATATTGCATTTTTTCTGCATATCATGACATTGTTCACTGTTCATGAAAAGATTTGTTTGCAATTTGCATCCATATTCTGCATATTTGCAGTACATGGAAGACACGGGACGGTCAAAAATTCATTAAGAATTTTGGAGTTTTAGGGGTTTCAGGACTAAACAAATAGGGTTAGAATGCCCGTCGGGGATTTTCCCACGGTATTCCCCCCGACAATGTAAATGTTGATTAAAAAGGATGGTAACCTCCAAAAACGGCATTATACACAGACGATGTTGCATTTTTTTCCAATATTCTGTCATGTTTTATTGATCATGCTTGTTTTTGCTGATCATGATCGTGTTTTTTTGGCGAATACTGTATATTCTGCATTTTGAAAATAACAATACGATGTTGCATTTTTTTGCATATCATGACAGTGCTTATTGTTCATGGAAAGATTTGTTTGCAATTTACATGCATATTCTGCATATTTGCAGTACATGGCACACGGACGGTCAAAAATGCGTCAAGAATTTTGGAGTTTTAGGGGTTTCAGGACTAAACAAATAGGGTTAGAATGCCCGTCGGGGATTTTCCCACAGTATTCCCCATGATAATGAAATGTTGATTAAACAGGATGGTAACCTCCGAAAACGGCATTATACACACATACATATGCGCTGTATATATTACATATATGTACATGTACATGCATATTAGATGTGAGTAAACGAGGTGTTCTTGCATCGGCGGATGCATATTCTGTCATTTTTAGTGATCATGTACTTTTTTGCTGATCATGAGAATGATTTTTGCAAATACCTGCATATTCTACATATTCAAAATACGATATTGCATTTTTTCTGCATATCATGACAGTGCTTATTGTTCATGGAAAGATTTGTTTGCAATTTACATGCATATTCTGCATATTTGCAGTACATGGAAGACACGGGACGGTCGAAAATGCGTCAAGAATTTTGGAGTTTTAGGGGTTTCAGGACTAAGTAAATAGGGTTAGAATGCCCGTCGGGGATTTTCCCACGGTATTTCAATGTTGATTAAACAGGACGGTAACCTCCGAACATGGCATTATACAATATTATACACACATATACATGCGCTGTATATATTACATATATGTACATGTACATTCATGTTAGATGTGAGTAAACGAGGTGTCTTGGATCGGCGGATGACAATATTGCATTTTTTCTGCATATTCTGTGTTTTTTATTGACTATGTATTTTGGGCTGATCATGAGCATGCTTTTTGGCGAATGCCTGCGTATTCTACATATTCATAATACGATATTGCATTTTTTCTGCATATTATGACACGATTTATTGGTCATGGGTAGATTCTTTTGCAATTTACATGCATATTCTGCATATCTGCAGTACATGGAAAAGATGGGACAGTCGAACTTGCGCCAAGAATTTTGGAATTTCAAGGGTTTCAGTACTAAATAAATAAGGTTAGAATGCCTGTCGAAAATTTCCCACGGTATTCCCCACGATAATGTAAATGTTGATTAAACAGAATGGTAACCTCTGAGAATGGCATTATACACACATATATATGCGCTGTATATATTACATATATGTACATGTACCTGCATATTAGATGTGAGTAAACGAGGTGTTCTTGGATCGGCGGATGACGATATTGCATGTTTTCTGCATATTCTGTCAAGTTTTATTGATCATGGGTACATGGAAGACACGGGACGGTCGAAAATTCGTCAAGAATTTTTGAGTTTTAGGGGTTCAGGACTAAATAAATAGAGTTAGAATGCCGTCCCAGATTTTTTAAGGGGTTTCAGGACGAAATAAATAGGCTTAGAATGCCCGTCGGGGATTTTCCCACGGTATTTCCCACAATAGTGAAATGTTGATTAAACAGGATGGTAACCTCCAAAAACGGCATGATACACAGACAATATTGCATGTTTTCCCAATATTCTGTAATGTTTTATTGATCATGTTTTTTTGGCTGATCATGAGCATGTTTTTTTGGCAAATACTGTATATTCTGCAGTTTGAAAATAACAATACGATGTTGCATTTTTTCTGCATATCATGACAGTGCTTATTGTTCATGGAAAGATTTGTTTGCATCACATGCATATTCTGCATATTTGCAGTACATTTCAGACGGACGGTCAAAAATGCGTCAAGCATTTTGGAGTTTTAGGAGTTTCAGGACTGAATAAATAGGGTTAGAATGCCCGTCAGGGATTTTCCCACTGTATTCCCCACGATAATGTAAATGCTGATTAAACAGGATGGTAACACCTCCAAAAAAGGCATTATCCACAAACGATATTGCATTCATCATTTTTCTAATGCTCTGTCATTGTTTATTGATCATGTTTGTTTTTGCTGATCATGATCGTGTTTTTTAGGCGAATACCTGCATATTCTACATATTCATAATACGATATTACATGTTTTCCTCGTATTAGAACATTGTTTATTGTTAATGGAAAAAATGTTTGCAATTTACATGCATATTCTCCATATTTGCAGTACATGGAAGACACGGGACGGTCGAAAATGCGCCAATAATTTTGGAGTTTTAGGGGTTTCAGGACTAAATAAATACGGTTAGAATGCCCGTCGGGGATTTTCCTACGATACCCCACGAATGTGTAAATGTTGATTTTACAGAATGGTAACCTCCGAAAACGGCATTATACACACATATATATGCGCTGTATATAACTGTATATATTACATATATGTACATGTACATGCATATTAGATGTGAGTAAACGAGGTGTCTTGGATCGGCGGATGACGATATTGCAGTTTTTCTGCATATTCTGTCAATTTTAGTGATCATGTAGTTTTTTGCTGTTCATGAGAATGTTTTTTAGCGAATACCTGCATATTCTACATATTTATAATACGATATTGCATTTTTCTGCATATTATGCCATTGTTTATTGTTCATGGAAAGATTTGTTTGCAATTTACATGCATATTCTGCATATTTGCAGTACATGGAAAAGACGGGACGGTCGAAAATGCGCCAAACATTTTGGATTTTTAGGGGTTTCAGGACTAAATAAATAGGGTTAGAATGCCGTGCCGGATTTTTTAAGGGATTTCAGGACTAAATAAATAGGGTTAGAATGCCCGTCCGGAATTTTCCCACGATATTCTCTTCGATAATGAAATGTTGATTAAACAGGATGGTAACCTCCAAAAACGGCATTATATATACATACATACATATATATATATATATGCTCTGTATATAGTGCATATATGCACATTTACAATCATGTACATTCATATGAGATGTGAGTAAACGAGGTGTTCTTGGATCGGCAGATGACGACATTGCATTTTTTCTGCATATTCTGTCAATTTTAGTGGTCATTTACTTTTTGGCTGATCATGAGCATGTTTTTTTGGCGAATACCTGCATATTCTACATATATATAATACGATATTGCATTTGTCTGCATATTTTGACATTGTTTTATTGTTCATGGAAAGATTTGTTTGCAATTTACATGCATATTCTGCATATTTGCAGTACCATATACATGGAAGACACGGGACGGTCGAAAAATGCATCAAACATTTTGGATTTTTAGGGGTTTCAGGACTAAATAAATAGAGTTAGAATGCCGTCCCGGATTTTTTAAGGGTTTCAGGACTAAATAAATAAGGTTGGAATGCCCGTCAGGGATTTTCCCACGATATTCTCCACGATAATGAAATGTTGATTAAACAGGACGGTAACCTCCAAAAACGGCATTATACATATATATATATGCGCTGTAATTATGTACATCTACAATCATGTACATACATTAGATCATATTAGATGTGAATAAATGAGGTGTCTTTGGATCGGCGGATGACGATATTGCATTTTTTTCATATTTTGTCATTTTTTCATCATGGGTAGATCCATTAGTTTTCATTGGTTTTTCATTATTTTGACGATGGTTTTCAATATTGTTCATTTTTTTCATTATATGGTACAACCGAAAGTTATAATGCCACCTTGGTGGAAAGACATGGATTTCAAGAATCTGGGAGGCATTCTGACCTTATTTATTTAGTCCTGAATCCCCTTTAAAAAATCCGGGACGGCATTCAGTGATTTTTCATTTTCAAGATGTTGTTCATTATTTTTCAGTGATTTTTCATTATTTTCAAGGTGTGTTTCATTATTTTTCATTGATGGTTCAATGTCGTTACATGTGCTTCATTATTTTTCAGTGTTTTTTCAGTGTTTTAGAGATGTTTTTCATTATTTTTCATTATCTTTTGGGTAGATTTTTTGCAATTTACATGCATATTCTGCATATTTGCAGCACCACATACATGGAAGACACAGGACGGTCGAAAATTCGTTAAAATTTTTGGAGTTTTAGGGGTTTCAGGACTAAATAAATAGGGTTAGAATGCTTCAGGGCTAAATAGATAGGGTTAGAATGCCTCCCGGATTTCTCACGCGGTACGCGGGTCTTTTCTTGAAATCCACTTAAGGCCACCAAAGCGGCATTCTAACTTTCAATTTTCCGCTATAACATATACACATTCTGTTACAGGTTGTGTTGCATATAGCTATAGTAGAACATGATTTATCTCAGTGACTTCCACCGTTTTTGTTTTCGCTCTGGCGTTTGTAGAGCTCCGGACCTTGCCAGGCAAGTACTTGTCCACATCTGTCATGAATCTCTTGAAGTCGGCTGAAGTCATCTTCCTCAGCCGTCTTTTGCGGGGGATCGGTGGACGAAGCCGCTCGGTTTCGCGGCAAGACCCTCTGAGAATCAAACACGGGAATAGAAAAACCACAGATTTAAATAGAAACGTCATCTATAACTGGTCTACAAACTGGTGCGTATAAAACAAGTCTTCTCAACGGTTTTATCCATTACTATGTCTGATTTCCAGCAGCTACCCTCGGGTAATTTAACAGCTCGCAATGGGCAATCACCATTCTTAAGTGCAGAAAATCATCAAACTGAATGGGTCATCTATACCAGTTCGCAAAACCACAAAAAAATACGGGAGGGATCGGGAGGGTATCCCAGCGGCAATATCCTAATAACATCCTCGTAAACCAGCATTAAATCACCATCAAATCACCATTCAATCCTAGTAAATTACAATGTAAATTAGCACTAAATCGCCATTAAATCACCATCAAATCCCGGTAAATGTGCATTAAGTCACCATCAAATCCCAGTAAATCAGCATTAAATCCAAGCCGAGCATAGCCGGACCCTCAGTTTTCGCTCTTCCGCCAGGTCTCCTCCCACTGATGCCCAAGGCATAGAACAACTCTTGCACCTGGTCCTTGGACCAATACCTCAGTTGGACCCCTGGGTTTTTCGTTGGAAAAAAAGGATGATAAATATATATATATATACATGTTTATAAACCATTTAAAATTAGGCAAACATTTGGACACCACCCCCTTTTGTAGATTTTTTGGGGACATACCTAGGACTGGATGGATGGATGCTGCTTGTTCAACGGCTCATCTCTATCAAGGTTCTACTGTTCCTCAAAGAAAAAACCCAATAAAACAAACTGAAACTGGTACTGAATTATTTTTTTGGTATTCAGCACTATAGCTACCGTGGTCAACCGCGATAATAGACAAACCAAGAATGGGTGGTAGAAACCGTTCTCAACTGGCACAGGATTTACATACGTAGATTTACCACATAACTGGCATCACTCAGCTGAAATGTAGCTCAGCTACTGCCCTAAGCGACGGAAACCCAGCTGAACTTCTCGACAGCAGAGTTGGTCGTTGTTGTTTCGATCAAAGACGCGGTAGGCTTGAGAGAACTCCTTCTGGAGGAAGTTATAAGCCTTGGGAAAAACCATGGCCATGCTAAGATGGCTGAGAAAATTTGAGGCTCAGCATCTGATGAATGGAAAAGTAGTAGACTGGATTTTTAAAACTAATTGTTTTAATTGAAAGAGCTTCGGTTTGGTATATGTTTGGCAGCACAAGGATATTTCGTGTGTATGCATATCTATGTGGAAGCACAAGGATATTGCTAGCAATTGCATCGATATGTTCATATGTGTATACATATATAATTATATATAGTATCTCTCTCTCTCTCTCTTCATTGATTTATATACAGCCATTCACTATCATTCACTTACAAAATCAAATCCATCCAATGGTTTTCACGCCTTTTCTACACTGAAATCAAACTGGTGAAGCAACTCCCCCAGCGTCTTCCTTGGTGACGGTGACGCCATCAAACTCCACCGGGGGCAGCCCATCCACCACCTGTGTCACGGTCGGCCCACCTTCGCGGTAGCGGAATTTTTCCATGGCAGGATGGTATGATCTAAGGCAGGGGATTCAACGGTTGAGTCAATGCGAGTTACCCTCTGGTAATGACTAACATAGCGAACTGGAAAATCACCATGCTATTAATGGGAAAATCAACTATTTCTATGGCCATTTTCGATAGCTATGTTAGTTTACCGGAGGGTCATGGGATTTGTAGCAAACAATAGCAAACAATTAATGATATCTGGGTGTGGGGGAAAATGATGATATAAAATGATATAAAACAGTGGATTTTGGGGTACTCGATTTTCAGGGAAACCCACATAGCAACCCAAAACGAGATAGAAATTCCAAATCCAATTCCAAAACAGTAATAAACTTGTTCCTTTCCAATATTTGGGAGGGTTAACCAGAATTATTCCCAGTCAAAATAAACCGTGATGAGGAAAAATTAGCCGCTAAATCATGTCTACGGATGTCCCACAAAAGCAATGATGGCTCGGTGTGCCAAAACCTTCGTGAATCTTTCCAAAAAAGAGGATCTTGGCACAAAACATCTCCAACATCATTCCGTCCAAAATCATCTCCCTTGGTTGGTTGGACCCTGAAAAATTTGGTCACTTGGGAGTCATGATCCTTGACATCGCGAGCGATGTTGGGAGATCCCCACATGTCCATCCTTGGGAGCCGACCATGGGACTATGGGACCATGCCCCAGCCTCTGCTTGGCTTGATCTGAGGAGATGCAAAGGGCACAATTTGCGGAATATCTTCGCTCATCATACCTGGGAGTCCAGGAGAACTTCCTAACCTTTCCCAAGGCTGGGAAAGTGCAATTGTAACCTTGTAAATCAGATTTATTAAAGTACGTATCTACACATGTCATCATGTATGCCTTCGTGTATATACATATATGATGTGTATGTGCCCATGTCTATTCATTGTTCTCAAGCATATTGGTACTGCCGTCATATATATATATATATATCAATAACAAAAAAAATGAAAAGCTGATCATAAATATTATAATGCATCTATGTATTAATCTATACGTATACCAAGGCATTCAAGGCCCCAAAACGCCCCAAAATAACAGGATCCGGGCCTATCCAGCTGCCGGGTTTTTCGACTGTCTAAGGGGGCCGACTAGGCACTTGGTGGTGAAGTAGCAGTGTAGCAATCCCCCAAATAATAGAACTGCAAAATCCTACTAAAATCATGATGAAATACGTTTCTATCTTTTTGGGGCTTGCGACATATTAGTGTAACTATATCGGTGCCTACCATGAAGCACCATTCATAAAGGCCCCGCAACCAAAAATAACTTGCCAGAAAGTAAATACATGTAAATACCTCTTTTCATTGGATAGATCCCAGTCGGTGTTGGTCAATTTCCTCATTTCTTTCCATCAAATATCATGCGTTCTCATTTTGTTCTGCTCGATTTTGGTCCAGGTTGCTTGCCAATCAAAATTTCCGTCTGTTGAAGTGACAAGAAAATCCAATGAGCCACCTGGGTGACCATCTGACGTGCCAAGGCACTCGCTTTCGCGGCAGCTTCCTTTTCCTGCTCCTTCTTTCCTGGGAGCTCAATGGATCTCATGGATTTTCCACAAAATAAGCAGAACCAAAGGCCAGCATGGCAGTGGCAAAGGTTCTGTTCAAAAAAATCATTGGGAAATTGACATTTCTACAGAAATTCTGCAATCTTTCTACAGAAATTGGGAAATTGACATTGCCTTTTTTAGAGGAAAAAGTTGCAGAACATATTGTTCAACAGGAATTTTCCAATGGGTATCCCTATGGCGCACCACCATTTTGCAGTGCAAAAAATGAGCATCAACATATATATATATATATCACTATATATATTATTATATATTATTATAGATATAATTGTGGCACTTCATAGACACATGATAGTATATCTATGTGACTATGCGTATGGTTGCTTATGTACCCGGTCTATCCGTTTGTTTCTGATATACATATCTGTCACTTGTTCCAATCTATATGTACAAAAACACGAAAGCAATCTGCCAAAAAAAACAACTACGAGGGCTTATTAAATCTTACCAAGATGTATCAAACCAGCCATTACCCAAAAACATGGTCCGTCTCCGTTCCGAAAACCAATGGCTCTCACCAGTCCCAGGGTCTCACGGTGGCTGCCAGATGCTTGAAGGCCAAGAACTTCCTTTCCTGCGCCGTCTCCACCTGCAGCAGGTAGCTGATCAAACCGTATTCGAAGACAGCGCTGAGGCAGAAGAACTTCATGTAGAGCAAGTAGCCTGGGGCAATAGATGCCATACTGTGGATGGTTGCGTCATGCACCAGTTCATAGTTATTTATAGGGTTTCAGCCCAAGGTGGTACAGGATTTCTTCCATCCACAGTATGTGGCCATGGCCATGAATGTGGGATTCAGCTAGCTTTGGCCGGAGATAAACACTGAGTACTCAATGATTTATCTATTGAAACATTGTATATCTATTGCAACTATTGATAATAGATACAATACAACCCAAGCCAAAGAAATGGTGATGGAATGGGGATGGTTTATGGCATTATGTTTGCCACATTGTCAGGAAGTAATATGAAAAAATAGCTTCAGTACTCAAATAGGAAAAGGATGGAAAGGGTATTGGGTAAATCCATTGAGATATCCATGATTATCAATGGATTGGTTTAAGGGAAGAATCACTGCAAACCATGGATTTTCCGATCAAATATGGGGGAGTCCCGTAAATGTTCCTTTACACCAATCCATTGATATTATCAGTGGTTTATCAGGAATCGCTTTATTGGAGGTACATACCATGATGGGAGGATGGGAGCAGATCATGAAGAGATGATGAATGACATCGTCTGCCATTGACATTGACCATCCAAAATGATGTGGACATTATGTGTATATATATATATCCACAATTAATTATATATATATAGTTGCCCAACAAATCATGTAAAGTATATAGTGTATGCATATATATATATATACATACATCAATATTGCGTCTTATATAATAATTATAATAATATAATGAATTAATTATAATGATATAGCCATTGAGATGTGGATGGGTTCGATCAATGACTATCCAACCATTGATATCATTATATAGTCATCCAAAAGTATGATAAAGTATCAATATATCAATCTAGATCCATAGATGCATATATATATATGCACATATATATATATATATACATATACATACCAGTATATCAAACGTCTATTAGCAATGAATGTAACTTGTGTTCCTAAGTGATTTTCATTTTGATCATATACAAGGCATCTGCATAATCGGATTGACTCGTGAAATGAGCTGTTTTGGGGATCAAGGAGCCACCGACCTAAAGCAACAGTTGACCTGTGGCCAAATTTAGGGACCCCATGAGAAGAAAAGGCAAATCGAACCTCAAAAAAAACTCGTTCCCTCCTGTCTTAGTGGTATTTCAAATGCTTCCCAGGGATTGTAAGCCAAAAAGTTGGGTTCAGCAGTAAAAAAAAACAAAACTTTAGCACGTCTCAGCAGCTCGTCAGCCAGGTCATGTAGTTCAAGGGCGGCAGATTGCTGATCACATTGTTCCTCCGCAACCAGGTTCAATATGAGACAAGCTTCTGGATCTAAGGTGGCAGCATGTGGGATTAAACGGATTAATTTTGTCAATTTTTCACCCAGAGATTTGCAGAATTCGGTCCTTCATTGACTATCTCCTGGAAGAGGATCTTCCAGGGCACAGAATCTGTTTTTTTCAGCATGTCCACAGTTTCGTGGTCCAGTTTCCATAGTTACCATAGTTGGCATGTCAAGTCACAACACCACTGCTTACTGGTGCGTGCTAAACGTAATGGATGGGTTGCTGGGGTTGCTGGGATGATTATTACTGGATCATTCCCTCATTCAGTGATTATGAACCTAGTGATTATGGATGATTACTAGTGATTTAGTGGGATGATTGTGAAACTAGTGATTTAGTGGGATCATTCCCTCATTCCCCCATTCCCCCATTAATCAATCACTAGTAATAATCATCCCAGCAACCCCCAGCAACCTTCAAATTCCCTACGTAAAACGCACCAGCTGCCGCTGAGAATCTCCAGGTTCAGCATGATGAGCACCGGAATGACCGCAATCGCCACCCGCGCGGGTGCCACTGCCCGGTTGATGAAGAGCCCGCTGAAGGACGCGAAGGCGAAGAGGATGCACGTCACAAACACAAACCTCGGACCAGGAAGCCTCGAAACATTGGAAACAGACCAAAAAAAACATGGAAAATCACCATGTTCAATAGGTAAATCAAGTATGTCTATATGTATCTCGAGTCTCAAGAGATTTGGCTCGCACCCTTCTTCTACCTTCAGGATGATTTGCGTGATTTATCCCCAAGATAACAGACGAGCTGTTAATGATGTGTACACATGCCCAAGATATATCAATGGTATCATTTTTTCGGGAGAATACCAGCCAAGCTACTAATGTAGTAAACCCAATACTATCCCATAAACCATTTGGGGATCGTTTTACATCATCTTAAATAGGGATATACATGGATATACCCAACAATGGACCTCTATTGGGCTATTGGGGGAATGTTTTTTTTTTAATGTTTGGGTTTACCATATTAACCAGCTACTTCCCAAACTTCATTTCAACAGTTTTCAACGAGTCTCCCAGCAATACGCCCCTTTCATTTCCCACCATCACCGCCCCGGCGCGTCATGTGCGAGTCCGACAGTCTTGCTAGGGCCAGGTGGACAAGAACATAACTGTAGCCTGCTGGCTGGCAACCATCACCCCATGTCTGTGGGCCCTTCCTTTGAAGCACCCCACCAATTCTGGATTGAAGGAAACGAGTGGAAGATAGTGGAAGCATGGTGAAGTGACTATTCAAATTTGAAAAGTTCTGATTTTTTATATATTGTTTTGCAGTTCTATCAGTTCTTGGCTCCCAACTCTCACTGCCAGCTCCACGGCCATCCCAAAAACTGCTGCCTACTGGCACTCCAGTGGCATGGAAATAAAGGGTTTCAACTTCGGAAGTAGCTCCTGGCAGAGTTTCAAGCCAGGGAAGGCCAGGGTAGTGCGGACTGCATTGGCCCTGGTGCCAACAGGCTTCGGTGCTCAAGGTCCCACCCCCCCAGCCCCCAGCCGCAGCCTGACAGGCGAAATTCCGTGGTCCCCTTGTAGTCCTCGGGCAGGTCCACACCACCTCCATCGAAGACCGTGGCGTTGATGTTGCTCACATCCCAGGAGTAGGATCCCATCCTGCCGGAACTGCAGAGAAGTGCGGATTTTGAAGGACAAAAAGTGGTTTTCTAAATGTGTGCAGCTACTTTTTGTAAGTAGTTACAGATGTTACAGGCAGAGGGCTGGAAGATGTTGGAAATTCTTACTGAATCGGCACCTAGTCCACACCGAGTCCACCCCCAGCCATTCTCCCCAGGTCTTGATGGTGCAAGTTTGCTGGTCGAAGGGAAGCCGTGAAAAGGACATGAGACAACCAAACTGGTGGTAGAAGCGCTGAGAGGTGAAAATTAAACCTCAGCCGCGGAAGTCTGAGTCTGCATTCTGACGTCTTTGTGTCAGATGTACTGAGAGCAATATCCGAAAGGATAGAAAACTTAACTACGAATACTAGTTCATCACTACCTTTCTATATCTCTGGGAATCTCCGGGGCCCCTTTTGAGATCCTTTGACAGTTTGGCAAGAGAAATCACCTTGTTTCCTGTTGCCGCCCCACCTATCACCCAGTGCAGGCCAGTCTCCATCTGGATAGATCGTCAATGATCCAGCACCGTACCACTCTGACACCTGCACTCAGACTCAGTTTGGATTCCGAATTATTTTTTTCTACACCTTTGGAGAACATGATGATGGGAAATTGCCATGTTTAAGAGGAACCACATCACAAAAAGCGAGTGTCCATTGCCATGTTTGATTTCTACAATTAAGTAATGTGGGTAAAACAATCATAAACCCTCCCCCAGTCATCACCATCTTTATAGGTAGTAATTAGAAACCATTCCCAGTCATGGCTGGTTTGCAAAGGAAGCCCATCGAAGCCCCGCTCCAAGTGCAGAATGAGCTGCCGAATTGTCGAAGTAGATGTCCTCGCTGGCTTGACCAAACAGACCAGCGAAGAACCCACCAGGTTTGTGCGTCGAAAAACTGCGGTGAACTTGAGGAAACGACAATTAAATAACAATGTCTGGTTGGTGGATGAGCTACCCCTCTGAAAAATATGAATTCGTCAGTTGGGATGATTAATCCCAATGTATGGAAAAATAAAATAGTTACTGATGGTTTGACCAGTGTTCCCCAAAAATACTGGAGCTGGAATCTCCCACCCAACAGAAAGTAGGAAGACATCGCCATCTTCTGGCTGTCCCCTACTGGTTTTGGGGACCGCCTCAGCCCCAACATCTCAGCCCAAGAAGCCGGCACCCAGACAGGATGACTTGCGGGCAAGGGCTGCTGCAATGTCAAGGACTCGCAACCCTGCCGATGGGTTGACATGAAAGTGGAACAAAACTAATGGGTGAAATTTTACATCAGAAAGGAAACCAATACCAATGTCATATAATCATATGTACGTACCTATGTGTGTATGGTATGTATGGTATGTATGGTATGTATGGTATGTATGGTATGTATGGTATGTATGGTATGTATGGTATGTATGGTATGTATGGTATGTATGGTATGTATGTATGGTATGTATGGTATGTATGGTATGTATGGTATGTATGGTATGTATGGTATGTATGGTATGTATGGTATGTATGGTATGTATGGTATGTTGGTATGTATGGTATGTATGGTATGTATGGTATGTATGGTATGTATGGTATGTATGGTATGTATGGTATGTATGGTATGTATGGTATGTACCGTATGTATGGTATGTATGGTATGTATGGTATGTATGGTATGTATGGTATGTATGGTATGTATGTTATGCATGTTATGCAAGTTATGTAAGTTATGTATGTACTGTATGTACTGTATGTATTTTATGTTATGTATGTTATGTATGTTATGTATGTTATGTATGCTATGTATGCTATGAATGTTATGTATGTAATGTATGTGTTGTATGTAATGTGTGTAATGTATGTAATGTATGTAATGTATGTAATGCGTGCAATGTATGTAGTGTATGTAATGTATGTAATGTATGTAATGTATGCAATGTATGTAATGTGTCTAATGTGTGCCATGTGTGTAATGCGTGTAATGTGCGTAATGTGTGTTATGTCTGTTATGTATGTTATGTTATGTTTTGTTATGTTATGTTATGTATGGATGTATGCATGTGTGCATGTGTGCATGTGTGCATGTGTGCATGCGCGCATGTGCGCATGTGCACATGCATGCATGGCTGTCTGTCTGTCTGTCTGCCTGCCTGTCTGTCTGTCTGTCTGTCTCTGTATGCATGCATGCATGCATGCATGCATGCATGCATGTGTGTGTATGTGTGTGTGTGTATTTGTGTATGTGTGTGTATGTGTGTATGATGGTATGCATGTATGTATGTGTATGTGTATGTGTGTATGTGTATGTATGGGTGTATGTGTGTGTGTGTGAAATCCGCTATCATTCATGCGGACCTGAGTTTCTGTTAACAAGTTGATTCAAACAATCCATCAGATGCAGGGGCGTGCAGCACCTTTGGCATACTGCACGCAACGAAGCTATTGCCATTGGTGGGAAGGGGAGACTGATCACCTCCCTGTACCTGCAGAAGTTGGTTTTGAACTGTTGAACAAGCTGTCCATTTTCATGCGTATATGTTGCTAATTTGAGATTATCTCAGGAATCAGAGTTTCCCACTGCTTTCCCTACTCGACTGACCAGGATTTTGGACCTAGGAACCCTCAAGGCATGAACTACTTCATCACTATAAAGTTCCTCATTCGAGTAATGTTACTCAGTAACATGCTCCCATCAGCAGTGTGTAACGGGCACAGTGTCACTGACTTGTGACTGCCGTCCGCGTGTTTGGTGACACGCGTTGAATCGGTACCGGCCTTCCGGAAGAATAGTGGGGTACTGCAATACCTCGAAATCTGACGGGTATTAATTCCCGTGTGAATTGGCTTCAGGCCGAAATACATGAATCAAATACAATGCAAGATTTCACAAGATTTGGAATACGTCACAAGACAGCAGCAAGCCGTATGGCTGGAATTCTGAAAGACAGACACGAATTTATTACATTCTACACGTTCGGGCAACTCAGATCTGTTCTGTCATCATTTAGTTCTTTTGTTTTTCACCTTTCCTCTGTATCTGTTTGAGCCATGTCGAAATCTGATATTCCAGCTGCAGTACCAAAGTCGCGATGTCCACCTAGTCCTACTCCTCCACCATCCTGGATCACACCTGTAAGTCGCCAAAGTCGTCCTACAGTTCTTGAATTTACAGGACAATGCGGACAATATCGAATTGAAGGATCCAACATTCAAGAGACACGGGACTTACTCCAGACTGTTCTTCATACGGAGTCTCAACATGTTCAACATGTTCAACACATGCAGTTTCAACAAATGTTGACTTTGTCACAAAATATGATGTTCTCCAATGCTCTTGGCATTCAACCCAGCTCATTTCGTGCACCAATTGTTGATCGTGATGATCGAATGGACGGATCGAACGTAGTTTCTGGATTGGGCTCTCATTCTGCACTGCCCTCAGACACTGTGGAACGTCAGAACCGTAGCTCTCAAGTTGCACTGCCCTTAGTCACTGATGATCGTCAAAATCAGATCACATCAAATGACCGAGTGGATCGAGTACGTCCCACTGTTACAGCTGATTTACCAAGCGATGGAACGGTCCGGGTGCCTCTGACTTTTGAATCAGATCAACGGGATCGAGTTCGGGCATCAATGTTTATAGACCAGCCGTCAGTCTCAGTTGCTCCCATTCCACGTTGGGGATTGTTCGTACATTGTTTACATGACCATCATGGACACAAGAAGACCTTCACTAGTGATCGAAGACTACCCGGACCTAGACCAAAGGTTACGACTCGCATTGGACGGCCTCCTTTGACTGTTGAAATTATTGAATTTTTACACCCTCAGAGTGATCAGATTTCTTTTTGGACGCTACCCACCACTGCCACATTTTGCTGTGATTGTATTACTTTAGAACAACCTGAGAAATCACCTTGGTGGTTCCTATATCAGTGCATGGGCCGCATTCGTGAAGAACTCTATCAAGATCCTTACCGTATCAAGAATGCATATGAAACTGGTGCACTCACTTTGGCAGTTGACAAATGGACGCCATCTTTGACATATTTTCAGCAACAATACTCTTTTCGAACTATTGACTCGATTGCGCTGTTAAAACAACAACTTATGACTGACCATGTGCAGATCCTCAAAGATGAGTATTCCGCCAAGTTTGAAAAATTCTCTTTAATCATCCATTCCGCACTCGAAGTATTGATCTCTACTCTCCTTCTACATTCTGAAGTTTGGGCTTTCGTGGAGTGCATCGACTTACTCTTTGATCACCAGAATCAGTCTCTTGTGGCCATTGTCGCTCGCTTGGAACCAGTCGTTTTTACACAAGAACCAGAAATTCCTGCTGCAGAATACATATGTTACGCAAACAACACGAATCCACAATCTGCTGCAGACAGTTTGTTCCATGGGTATATCAGACCATCATCCACTGACCCACAAGACGAAACATGGATCCCGGCATTGACCTTTTTCTGTCGTGGCGTTACTGTGGCAAGACCTGTTATGACCAGATCAGTGATGCTCACAACCTTGAGAAAGGCACAGAAATATTCCAATTTTACCACTGATCGTCCTACATGTTTGCTCGGTATGTCTAAATCAAGACAACCACATGTGACCAACGTTCTCGGCGGTGTTATTGGAGAACATGCTTGTACACACTATTTTGACAGTGTACATGGACGTGACAAACGTTGGGGTCTTCGTTCTCATTTGAGTCCGCTTAGCCATTTAGCTTGTATCATCCCATCATCATGATCAATGATCATGGAAGTCACACAATTTTGTTGCGCTCCATAGATCAAAAGCTGCGCTCTGTTGTATCACTTTTTGAGCGGTTTCATTTATCAAGCCATCTCTTCATGAGTCATTTCAGATTTCGTCCAAGTCACCTTTTTGTGAGTTACAGTCACATACGTTTGATGTTTTTCCCAGTGATGATTTCGAAATCAAGAGTATTTACATTTTGTTAAGTCTAATTCAGCTGCTGTTTTTCTTGAGTACTACAATTTGACTTGCATCAAAATTGTCTGGTTCTGTTCAATTTTTTCATTACTGTTTTCCATGATTGGTATAATTCATAGTGGATCAAACCCGTCAGTAAGTCGTTCTTCAATCCGTTTGTGATCAGTATTTGGACAGATGCAGTCTCAACGCCGAGATTCTCGATCCAGATCTCGACATCGCAGTCGTGGACATCGTCGACACGAGTCTAAGGAATACCGTGATCGAAGACGACCGCTGTCCCGGACCCAAGACCTCAGTCGTGCACGATCACCAGACTTACCTGATTCGTGGCAATCCACACGAACCCATTATGACACAAAGACGGAGTATGGATTGACTTTTCCACGACATGTTGAGTCGACCAATTTTTCACGAAAGAACAATACAGCTGGCATTCCTATTTCTGATGTTAAGCTTGTCGACATTGTGTCCAACGGTCTTGAAAATTGGGCTTTGCGCCTTGTTGCCAATGGTAGGTATGTCGCATGTGAGATGTTTCGAAATCGCCTTGAAGCCACATTTTCTACCATGCTTTTTCGTGAACTCTACCGACAAAAAGACAATGTTGATTTTGCGAAGCTCATCCAGCATTTGTCTTCAGAACCAGGTGATTCTCAAGATTGGAAATCCAAGCTTTCAGGAATTGAGGCGTTGATTCAACAGACTGTTGATTTGTTCAAGACTTTGGCACCCAAAGATTCCAATCAATCATTGTTAGAAGAACTGGAAAGAATGAAGAAAGAGAACGCAGCTCTTCGTGCCAACCAAAGTCAAGTTCCTACTCAGGAAGGATCACAGACTCAGAACACTGAGGAACCACCAGGCGGAACACTCCCATCCATGTTTCGTCAATCAGCAACAGAGGAACTCAGACGCCAAAAAAGTCAGTCGATGCCAAGTATGCCGGGAGCCCAAGATGACCGTTCTCCACTCTCACAATATCGACGTGGACAAAACGCACCCATCTTAGGCACACACACACCCAAACATACCATGACTGAACTCGACAAGTGGATCAAGAACAATGTTCCTAAGACGGAACAAGTCAATGTTGATGCCATGTTGAAGACCATTACTGACGAATACAATCAGTTTCCAGCCTCTGAAAGACCAAATTTAGAATCGATTCTTTCAGATTGGGGTCTCCCCAGTACAGTACTGGCCAAAACAAAGGCGGAATACAATTTGAAGGTTTTGGCCGCCGTTCAATTCCTTCGAAACTGACATTTTGGA